CCAAAATAATTGTTTCCCTCTCACAGAACAAGAAAGGGCGCCACAAAAGCGTGACTCATTAAAAAATAGTTATTGATATTAATGAAAGTATTTGAATGTGTATATGATTATGGAGTTAAATCAAACGTTCATCGTTTAAAATTTTATATTCCATGGTTACAATAGTTATTGTCGACGGGCAATAAAGGCGGGCACAGAGGATGAGCAATCAGGCCGGACAGTGAAGTTTGGAAGTGAGGTCGGACAGTGAGGTCGGACAGTGCGGTCGAACAGTGCGGTCGAACAGTGAGGATGAACAGTGAGGATGAACAGTGAGGATGAACAGTGAGGATGAACAGTGAGGATGAACAGTGAGGATGGGCAGTGAGGATGGGAAGTGAGGATGGGCAGTGAGGATGGGCAGTGAGGATGGGCAGTGAGGATGGGCAGTGAGGATGGGCAGTGAGGATGGACAGTGACTGCGAGAAATGTCTGCGAGCAATGACTGCGAGCAATGAGGACGGGCGAACAGGGCGGGTAATGACAGCGAGCACAGAAGACGGACAATGAGGCGAGCAATAGGGCAATGAGTCATGCAATAGGTAATAAAAGCTTTCTTGTGCATTAAATTTCTAGGTGATAGCAATGTGATTGTAGTCTTACCGGACTAGTGGTATACGATTGTAGGGAACTGCATTTCATCTTCAAGTAGAAGGTTCTTCTTTTAGAAGTTTACTGAATAAAGCAGATAGAAGCGATTGTATAAATGGAACCTTGAACCTTCTTTTTAGCCAAAGAGCTGAACTGAGGAGGCTTCCTTGGTCGAGATTACTGAAATGTTCTCAGCAGGGGAGTCGGAAGGAGGATATCGATCTACTCATACATTTTTTGAATTGAAGCAAAAATAGAAGGCGAAAATTTCTTTCTGAACTAAAAACAAATATCAATATTCCCCCCGAATTGTTTTCATCGTTTTTCACAATCATGCATGTTTTTTTTAGTTCCATATATTTTGTAAGTAATGAAAAATTAAAAGTTAATTAGAGGCAAAATGCCGGCCTTTTGACGGTAGTGAAATAATTCAATTTCGTGCCCATGTTGTCCCTTATGAGCCAAGATATTAGAATTAAACAGAGTTAAGATTTCAGTACTTTTCTTTCACGTATACGTATTTACATAGAATGAACTTCAGAAACCACATCACTAATGATATGTTTTCTGAAAAACACGTTTTATTAACAGTACAATATGTTATAATTTCAATAAATCTGACATATATATATGTATATATATGTATATATGTATATATATGTATATATGTATATATATGTATATATGTATATATATGTATATATATATATATATATGTATATATATTTTAAAATGAATTTATGTTTTGGCACCATATGTTTAAATATCACAAGGAATAATTTTGGAACGGTACAGTGATTTTACTGTAATGAATCGGAATAAACGTATCAATAAATGGGATAAAATGTTAATGATATTAAAATAATAATAATAATAATAATAATAATAATAATAATAATGTTTTAAATACAATATTTTGGATATCGACATCAGTGGAAAGAGGGATTAAAAACACAAGCCATACTGATAGTTATTTGAACTCTAGTTCCGCTAAATCAGTTCCGCTAAGAACTTGTCCTAACTCCCATATTAGTCAAAAGGATTGGGAAGTACAATATATCACGTTATTGGGAACAACCCATTGTTGCGCAAAGTATTGTAGAGGCACACACAGTCACTAGATCTGCTCCTTAGGAAGCTGCAATTGCGAATTGCGGGGTGCACGATCATCACAATGAAAATCATAAGAAGATGAAGTAGCAGAAGAGAATGAGTGCACCTAATCTATAATTTAATGCGACAATGACCATTTGTACGATGCCCCAGTGACGATTAGTACGACGCTGTTACATATCCCATGAGATGTTTTTAAATATTCATATTTATTAAACTGGATATATAACCATTGAAGTTACCACGGGGTGGATTTAATTTAAATTTGATCTCCTTAATTTTTTTATAGAGATTTATCTGAAAAAACAGTAAAACAAATCGTCAGGATCGTAAACAAAACTTAAACTATTTGATTCGACTATTCAAAAATAATGTAGGATTCTTTATTGAAGAAAACTCTATTTTATTTATTGTTCACCCTTGGTCACTTTGGTCTGAAGAATATTCAATTAATGAATATCTGAATATTGTAATAGAATTTTGTTATGATGGTGCTTTTTCATTAAAAAAATATCAACCACGCAATTACATCAAACATACAATATCTATATTAAAAAATCGGCTAAAAAAATTGCTGATAAAAAAATTGACGATATTTTTTACAAACCTCGATGATTTTATGAACTAATCGACGTTTTGAAAATATCGACGTGGGCGTCGCGTCCCTAATTGCGAGGCGCAGAGTCTCCCCGCGCCAGGGTCTCGGCGTCACTCCTCGAGCGCGAGTGGGCGGGCGGCCGGCCGGCCTGCGTGCCTGCCGCCGCCGCCGCCGCAGCGCCTATCGATTGCGTGCGAGAGCGGCGCTCGCTAGCGTGCTATCGTGAGCCCTCCCGCCGCCGCGCCGCGCCGCGCCGGGCCGGCCGTTCGTCCGTCAGCGCGGCGGCCCCTTCGACTCTCGAACACGCCGCGGCTCTCCTCGCGCCCGCAACCTTCACCCTGGCCGGCGGCGGCGGAGCCAAGGCTACGCGCACGAACACCGCCAGGGGACGGTGCGGGGCGGGGCGACTCAAAGCCGCCGCGCGCATTGTTTGGCCGGCTCGTGGGCAGGGCTGCTTTCAGGCACGATGAAATTTCTTGAGAAAGGTTGCAATGCGTTCGCGAAAATTCCCTACATTTCAATTCCGGTGTTATCATATTTAGTATCTAAAATGTTGGTACTCCAGAAAGTGGAGTAAAAGAAATGATATAAATTATTATTATTACTATTATTATTGCTATTATTACTATTATTATTATTATTATCATATTTCATTATTCACAGTATCTACTGGTCGGTATGTCAACCACACACAGGTATGATGACCAAGTGTTGTGGCGTTGCCTTCGAACATTCAGATGGCTTCTTGACAATACGCATGTATTCAAAATTACTGTATTTTGCATATTATATACATTCTGGTATCCAAGTGAAGACACTCCAGTGCCCGAAGTCATTTTTTGATCACTCCAGTAGCTGATATTATTATAGCACAGTTGCACTTTACTGAAGTTCCACTGAGTTGCGACTTCATAGGCGAGATCGGTATACTTCTGGATCTTCTCTTGATATTTTCCCGATATGTTTGTGGTATTGGGTATTGATATATCGATAAGGAAAACCTGCTGTTGGTTTCTATAAATGTACGTTATATTCGTGTCTAATTGCCGCCGACATGTCTGTCATGATAATGAACGATCCCAGTAGAGTGTGTGCTCACTACTTTCAAGCACATTCTGAGGCACATATTTATAATACGACACGAAGTGGCGAGTAACCGTTCTCAATGCCAATAATTGGTACCTGCTTCGCCACTTCCATGCCCTCTTTTTGTATTCCACCTGTGCGTGGCTGCTACATCCACTTCACGTGTTGGATAGTTTCGCTTGCAGCCTCACATCTTCTACACGAGTCGGAATGAATGGTAGAATCTCTCAGAATGTGTTTTCTGTAGTTCATTTGTTGTACCACTTGTTCCTGGATAGCTATCATGAAGGCTTCTGTCTCCGGAAAGAGATCCCCGTGCTGAGCCACGCGTGCGACGCAGAGATGTCGACTTCTGGTTTACTCAGCTCGTGAGGGTATTCTTCCATGCATTGCCTTCGCTTTCCATAAGGTTGTCTTCTATTCCTTTTCCAATGATTGGTGAACACGCGGATCAAGCTTATTCAAGTTCAGAGGACTATAGTTATTATCAACTGCGCTCACTGCTTGCTGAACTCTCCCACAATGTTCCAAGAAGTATCTTCTGAGTGAAGCAATTTGAGAGCTGTTAGATTTATGAGATCTACAATACCTCGCCCTCCTTGCGACCTTGGAAGAGTAAAACGCTCAGTACTTGAATGGGATGTGTTTCGGTGTTGAGTCATAGCGGTTCGAATTGTTCTCTGGAGGTTGTCGAGTCGGTATTGCTCCATTTAATAACGCCAAAGGAGTATGTCAAGCACTGGAATTTATTATTATTAATTATTATTATTATTATTATTATTATTATTATTATTATTATTATTATTATTATTACGTATAGACGATTACAGACCACGCTACACTATTAACGTGTGCAATTTTTCCAGGATCTCCTTTTCAGCTGTATTCCTCAGTACGACGAAGTTGTTATGCCTTGGAAGCAATTCACACTTACAGCCTCCACGGCGCAGACGAGGGCTGCTGCTACCCTCTACGCTACGAGGCCGACTTATTATTATTATTATTATTATTATTATTATTATTATTATTATTATTATCATAATTACATCGTTGATTATATTAAACATATAAAATATAAAATATTAGAAAACATGCCAAAAAATCCATTCATTAGAAAATTACATCGCATTCTCATTTACTTTAGTTCCACACAAGATAAATTTTAAAAGTAAGATTTTATATTATATCTCATACAGAAATAGAATAAATTGACGATAAAAGAATAAATTTTACCAAGTCAGGTTCACGAGCTTATAATTATGTAATTGGTTGTTTTCCGTACGTATTACCATTATTTTTGGAATAAAACGTCCAGGATTTACTTACTCTTAGGTAGACCACCACTGAATACATTACTTGTGTTTTATAAAGGAACTTGAGAGAGAGGAAGATGAGGACACTAAACATTTAAATTATTAAAATAATATCTTGGTTTATTGATAAAGAATGTTATTTTTTCTGATTTCTTCTTGAAAATTATTATATTTTTTAAATTAAAAAAATAAGTAGTAAATAGAGACGAGACAACGTATCAGGGTATAAAGCAAAGCTTTAGACGAGATTCGAAACACACTTGATGCGGTTCTGCAAAAGTTCTGTACAAAAAGAGCACAAATATAAATTCAGAAGAAATATCAACGAACAACTGTGGGAGATTTTTAATTTGTAAACAGAACGATGCGAGGTAGGAACATCTTACTTGAAGCACTGGTTCAGTACCCTTCGTGTTTACTAGATTGAAAAATAATTTCATCTTAGGATATATGGTGTGAGTAAAGAATCATGAGTACAATGTTGTTTACAAAACTGATGCTGCACCTGTAAAATAAATTCATTCTCACTTGAAGCCAACTCCATAAACCTTTTCAGACTACTAATACGTACTGACTAAACAGAGTAGTATATATCTATGTGTATTTAAATTCACTTCTGCAAATTGGAAAATGTACCTCTGGGTTACCAAAGAAAAAAGCCAATGTTTGAACCAAAAAAGCCAAAGCTCCATTTACATAGTAATATTGAAAGGAACATTGTTGTAGTGCAATAAGATATTGTATAATTATTGAGTTTTTATGTATTTCATACTCGTCGTATTCGTTTGGTGTGAAATGGCGTTTTTGTTACATATTTTTCTGCACATAATACTGCACAATAAAAAAATGAGTGTTCTCACTGGGCTCCTCAATGCAAAGAAAATCAGAGGTGAGGTGTTTAGGAGATTGTGGTTTGTGACATGAGTGCGGTGACGGGGCTTATGATGTGAGGGTAGAATTGATGTTACGGAGTTCGGAATGTATCTTTGGGGAATCTGGAGGGGGTGTAGTTTAGATGAGGATGAGTGTTTTTCCTAATGAGAATGTCGGTTGGAAAGGGAGGTTATGAAGCTTGTTGAAAAATCTTTCGGAGAGGCGGACAATGTGCTCGGCTACTGGAGGAAATTTTAGGTCATTGTTAATTTGTGCATTTGAAATGTACCATGGGGCATTTAAGGCTGTGCGGAGGACTTCAATTTGTGGAGTTTGGGTGTGTTTTATTATTGAGGGGGGTGAAATGGTTTGCCTCGGGAAACGTTGTGGTCTTGTAGCAAGCGGTACTCCACGTAAACACCAAGCGAACCTAGCGTGCAGGCGTCTGCAGACGATTACGTGCGCCTGAGTTGTCCGTTTCGTCGTGCGCAAAATAGCGCTTGATGGAATCTCAGAAACTTACACGGGCGCCGGCAGGTAACCGTTTACAGATATCGCGTAATTGAACTATAAATCCTAATCATCAACTTACTTGCAGTACAATAATCACGATTAATATGCCAACTGTCGGTACCTCGAAAGTTGTTTGAAGACTTAAGATCACACATTTTTGAGATTTAGTTGAACCAATATAAATGATAATAATCCTTAACAGTGAATTGTTCGGAATAATGTAACTCTTCAGAACAACTCTTCTCGAAGCATTCGAATTAGGTTTTCGAACACGAAATTGTGTGATGGTGAGTAACCCGAAATAACGTGCGACAAAAAGAGCTGCGATTCTACATTATTTGTATTTGTATTTTGTATTATTTAATTTTGCTTCTTAATATATATATTTTTCTCGTACTATGCTCGAGAATGCAAAGACCAGAAAACTGTGTATTTCAAGCTTCTTGTAATTTGAACTAGTATGGTAGAAATTTTCAACATAATTGATAATATTTTTAAATCAGTTTAAAGCGTCGTCGACGCCACATTTAGTTAGTGTATTTGTAGTAAAATGTAGCAGGAAATCCTTTCATATACTTCAATTTAACAGCATACTACACCACATAATAATTATCACTAAAATATTTTTTTGAAGAATTACACTTCCAAATGGTTGCTTGTCATTGCGTGTATATACACTCATTATTAAAAACAATCTTCAAAATTAAAAATCTTTCTTTTTCGCTTTGCCAGCTTTAATCTCTCACTCATTTACGCTTGCTCGCTTGAAACGACAAAACACGAATGTCGAAACAATGGAAGGTGTGAACAAACGTCGGGATGAAAAGGTGACGCTAGATAAGAGTTCATTCCATTAATTTTAAGATATTATTAATATTTAGAACTTATAATATAAATATTAGATGAACTATATCACATTTGTAGCCCACTCACTTTAATTTAAAAGAAAATTCACGAAATTTGGGTGAATAGCAGCTCAAAGTTTCTTTCTAAACGAAACATCTTAGCGTTTTAAATATACACATGTACGTTAGTCCCGAATGTGTTACGTATTGAACGATGTATGATAAAGACCACCTAATTTAAAATTCTAATTATATTGCTCTTAGAATTCATGGTTACTGACTCTAACATTTCGGTTTACAAAAATAATAAGAAAATAATAATATGTTACAATGTAAATCAGTTGAAAATGTCGGCTTCTACATATGTTTTCGAATTTTGACTGTGAAAAGTGACGTGTACAATATATGAACCAAGATATATTTTACTCTTCTCTAATATTTTCCCTCAAACTGTAGAATTATTGTTTTCTCGTTTTTCAACCGTGTCTATTTGGAAAGCACACCCTTATCGTTATGAGATTTCGTACTCTATACTTTCCTAGGTGATTAACACGAATTTGTTCTATTCGGTTCCTTAATTTTCTGTTCTATAAATGTAAAAATATAGTTCGTACAAGTGGAAAACTACCACAATTAGATGGTAACTCAGAAGACGTCACGTAAGTGACTCTTTTGTACAACTAAAATTTTAAATATTTGTCGTGTCTTCCAACACCTATTGGTTTTATCTGAAACATAATATCCAGTATTTAAGGATAAATGAAAATATTGTGGTTTCAATGTATTTGTTTAAATTTAACCAAGCATTCAATTCTGTGCATTTAATTGATAACAAAGCATTACCTAAGAAGCATTATCTTCAGCAAAATACACATGGGGCAAATGAACTAGGTATCTGCTCGGTATCTTCTCATTGCCAACTAAAAACGCCATGATGTAAGAATATCCTTGTATTGTACATTAGCTTGAAAAATGACGTAAATAACAAATCTTGGTAGACATGTGTTCATTCTATTACTTTTACGATCTTATTAAAATTTAGTGTTTATACTATAAAATCAGTTAAAAATATCAACTTATAACATATCTGAAGCCTAATGTCTTTCTTTTAAAGTAGATATTATGAAGTTGATTTAATAGATAAATCAAATTGCTGTCCAAACGAAAACCGTTAGTGTTTTAAATATACCAAAGGAATCATAATAGGGTCATAAATGTCCTTATGTTGGTGATTTTGGAAAGTGCAAGGTTTTTTGTTATTTTAATAATAACAAACGATGTTCAATTTTCTAATTCTGAAACTTTAAACCCTTTCCTGGCTTTTAGTTTTCACTTCCATTTTCTAAAATATTACATGTTAAATTATACCACGAATCTAATTTCCCTAGTGGTTATACCAATTGGATCTCTTCTGTTTGTATTCGTTATTGAATTTATTTGCCTTGCAACGTGGTTTTCATAAGAGCTAGTATTATTTCTCTGTGAGCCAACGTTAACGTCTTTTGCGGGAAACTCGTAACAGCGATTCTGTACCGCTCCACGCAAGGCAAAATGAGAAATCTGCCCTTCAGTCGACTGAAAAGGCTGATTCATAGTCTTCGGGAGAGGCGCTAAGGACGTTCGTGCCCTGGCGTAGACCGTTATCGGGCGTGAATGGCGACAAGATCGTGTTCGTGCAGAGGGCGCGGGGGGGGAAGGGGGGCGGGGGGCGGGCGAGGGAGGCGAAGCGAGAATTAGAGACGCGCGCGCGGGGGTGACAGTGGAGCGTCGTGGAGGGGGGGATCGAATCGACGGAAGGTCGTGGAGATGGGGGCGCGCGCCTACGGGTGGGACCAAGTACTATAGAGACAAATGACTCTCGGCGATTTAACGTGAGACTAGTGATCTAACTATTGACAGTAGACCCCTCTGCGTGAGACATTTGAAGCTCGCGCCCCTAGTGGCACGACCTGCCGTAACCATTGTGATAGCAAGTACGAAAGGTATAAGTTTGAAAGGTTTTTTAGTTTACTTTTGATTACGTTTATTTATATTTCGCAAAGTGGTTAAATGTTTTCATTTAATTTTTAGTACCTTTTTTATAAGGCTGGGAAGGTATGAGCTGCGTCTCATTGCACAAATTATGAAATTTAGGAAATTCATTTCTTCGATGTCATCTTGATGAGAAATCTTTAAGCCTTTGCAGACTTCAAATTGCGAGTGCTTCACTAGGTAGAAACTAATCATTTTCGAATTAAGTGCAAATATTAAATTAGATAACGAGATTTTTTAAGAAAAATAGAAAGAGTTAGAGAAGTCCAAAGAACTCCATAGAACTCCGAAATATATTCTTTATTCAGTTTCGCCAGTGAGCAGCTGACTCTCAATAATAGTATGACAAAGATTCAAAAGAGCCGGCCCGGAGAGCCGAGGGTACTAAGGCTGAAGAGCCATAGCTGCTTCGTGTCTGAAGGGTCGCGGGTTCGAATCCCGTCCAGGGCATGGATGTCTCTGTGCATTCGTATACCAATGTTACCCTTATGTTACTTACAGTGGTCGCCATATAATCTTTGTAGTTGTAAAGCGACCTTAAATAATTTAAAAAGTTCATATATATATATATATA